ATTTCACAATACACTAAGGAAAGAGAGTATACATGTACATGTATACAGTCTTGACTTGTACACAACATCCAGGTGGCAGGTGCAGTGGCCTCATGGTTTGTGCATTTGACTCCAGATCGTTCAGCCCATGTTCAAGCCCCCAGCCAAGGACATTGTGTTGTGGTCTTGGTCAAGACACTTAACTCTCACCATGCCTCTCTCCTCCCAGGTGTATAAATGGGTAACGGGAAATTTAATACTGGGGATAGCCGTGCAATTGACTAATTAGCATTCTATCCAGTCGGGCATAGAAATACTCCTTAGCCTGTAATGCAGGCGTATTTTGGCGAGCAATCGAGCGCATTTTGACTAAGCGAGCACCATCTTGGATTCAAACTCGTAAGAGGCTTGGGGAGAGACGAAAAGGTGTCCTAGGGAGTGGGTGTTAGGCTGAAAGAGGAGTAACGGGGGAGGGGGAGGAAAAATACGTCTTTTCCTTCCTCTACTTCCCCACCCCCCTCCCCGTCCACTTTTTCTAAACCAACATGGCCGCAAATCTACTTGATCACTAGCTAATACTGCTATAAAATGCCTGCACTGCAGGCTAATACTCCTTGTCGCTTCATGCTACAGGAACTGGAGATACTGTAAGTGCCAGCCTGATGGATCCCCTGGCTTGTATGCAGACTTCACCTTAAATGACATCCAGTGAATATTTGTGCTATTAAAAAAAAGCATTTCTCACTTACCAAAAGGTGATTCAACCATGGTGGAATTATCGCATCCATTGCAACAGGAAAAATTAAATTTCTGTCAATCATATAGATACCCCAAAATGTGGCAGCTACAAACTGAAATAGAAAGCAATATAACACAAGAAGCAATGAAAATTAAGTAATAAATTCACCAGAGGAAAAGAATTAGGCTCAATTTCTGCCACTCTGCATTCCTTCTCAAGAAGTGCCAGTGTTAGAATGTTTCATATTTAAACAATCAGCTCTCAATAGCAGTTGTAATTATTTCCTTAAGCAGAGGTTCACATGCCCAATATGTTTTACATTTAATAAATATTTGACCTTAAAAGTGTTGTCACTAAAGAGAGATTCTAATGGAGTGATTCTATTATACTGAAAATTTTGGTATACTGAAATTGCCATTGCTTTAATACAAGAGGTCATCACATTAATAAGGGTGGACTGTGTTTACGGACACCACCTGAGTAACCAATTTATTATCAACAAACTTCTATAGCCTGTTCTTCAGTGGTCATTTTAACAGGGTTTCACTATTATTATGGTCCACTGTTGTTTACATTTGATCAATTCTTACCACACCAAGAGGAAATGCTAGTGCACAAAACACTGTATCACGAAGTCTGACAAGCCAGTTGTCTTCATGTCCCTTTAAAAGAGTCAGAATATCGGCACAGGGAGCAATAATAAAGTATATCAACTGGCAAACCTGAAAGAAATATAAAACAGTTATAAATAATTATAATACCAATAGTGACTAAATAGAAATTTAAAAACAACAAAAGCCAAGAAGTTATTTTCACTTCTACTGCTAGGAATGGTAAAATCTCAACTGATGAAAAGCCAAGTATGATTGAAAAATCTTTCATTCCATTAAGGCAGGATTTATTTTACAGGATATAAAATAAGTTTCAGATGTATTATTATCCACGAGTCAAGGTAGACAGAGGTATAATTTTGTCTCCTGCGATGAATAGCAGGAGGGAGTACTCCCAAAAATGGAACATATAGAGAGGTTTTGCCCAGGAGGGGTATTTACTCCTTCCAGACTGAAGCTATATAAAAAGGTGGCAACATCTTTGAAGAACAGAAGAGGAACAACATTTGAAAACCTGTTCCAAATATCTCAATTATGCACAATCGGCTACTGATTAAGGGTTACAATGTATCTATCTTCTGTAGATATCATCCTCATACCTAGAGGCTGCTCTCCTTTTGGTCAGCACCAAGAATCGCAACCTCTGGCCAAACCCAACTTTCCGACCATGTGCAGAGCATTCGTTTCGTATTCTCAGCCAATTGATCAGATTTGTAAGATTTGATGGGAAGTCTGTGAATTGCAGACTTCCGGTGTTGTTTATTTATTTATTTTATTTTATTAAGCTTCGGCCTACTATTACACATAAAGAAAAAGAAAAAGAAGAGGAAGCAAAAGAAAAAAACAAAAACAAAAACAAAAAACAAAAAACAGACAGCAAAACAAAAAACAAAATGGCCAGGGGAGCCGCTACAGCTTAGCCAATTACAGCATACTCAGAAAATTGGGTCCGGCCTGAGGTTGCAATTCTTGGTGCTGACCAAAAGGAGCACAGCCTCTGAGGACAAGAATGCTGTAGATATGTGAAATGGATACCATTTGCTATGTCCAGAGCATGCGTGAAAGGGTTACCTTTTCTATTAAAAACAGTATATAGGTGAGGTTTTGGACCTCGGAAAACAGAACCTCCCCCATAACAACACTGTTCAGTAGTTTACCTGACCCAGGGTTTTCAATAAGTTTCAAAATAGCCATCTGAGCTAACTAAAGTAGGTGGCAAACTGATGAATTTTTTTAATAATTTGAGTGAAAATACAGACAAAGTAGGCAGTGGTAAGAGGAAAATTCTGACAAAGTAGGCAGCAATTTTCGCTGGTTGCCGGCTTCTAATGAAACCCCTGCTGACCCCTCTCTCAAGATTTGATGCATAATTATTGGTATGTCTCATATGTGCAGATGTTTCCAGCGACTATTAACCCAGGGGAGATTATCTGTATCTGGGGATAGAAGATTGCCTTCACTGATCATTTATCAAATGAATTACATGTATTGATAAGGTCACCTTTACAACTCCTTTAACAAACGACAAAGCATGCATCCCAAAAGAATTGTCAATAGCTTTGAACTAATTAACAGGTCGGCAATTTTACTGAAATTTTAGTCGAACAGTCAGCTTTTATGTCTCTTACCAAATTTAAAAAGGTCAGATACTGAAAACGTCCTCCATACAACATTCTATCCTCCGTCACAATGTATGAGTCATGATACGTCCCATAAATATAAAACAATCTGCCTCCTAGATGAAACAACACTCGGGAAACCATCATCTTTGATTTCCGTCTTCAACACAGGCTACAGCTATTGCACAATTTGACTTACTGCAGCCGGCACGACGCAGCAGGCAGCCATTAAACTTGTACCAGATTAATGACTGAGGGGGGGTGAATAGGTTTGCAGATCGACAGATATGGCTTAAAAAATCGCACGGTTTACAGACTTTTGCGATAAATTGAACAGATTGGCAGATTTCGAAAATAGAGCAGGTCACAGATCAACTGTGAATTTTGGCCTGGACTCTGGACTCTACCTGTTTTAAAGGTCGGATTGTGGATCCTCAGATAGGAAGTTCGGATTGTAGATCTTTGGTCAGCTAGGGTCATGATGTTAGTGTTTTAAACACTTGATTTCTTTTTCCGGACGAGACTTGATTATATAGATTTGGGTTTAGCATTGTTATTGGAATTGTGTGATCCTTATCTTACAGCCAGTTTTTGCGACCTTGACAATGTTATCCACATCTACCAGTTTACCAATGAACTTTCATACAAAACTAAATGGCAAATCTGTTAAGATGAGGAATCGAGTTAATGTCTGATGATTTTCAAAATATGCAGAAGACCTCTGAACCTGTCCAAGACTATCCTGGATTGTCCACGGGTGTCTCAAATTAACTCCTGAAAAAATCCTGAAGCAGTTTTTATGGAAGAGAAACTTGTGTCTACATTCACTCTTTCCATATAATACAACAACCTTTCATATTTTTCATATCAACAAAAATTCACCACCATAAATCAATTTGAGAATCTGTTATAAACTCATGAAAATGTGCACTTGCAGACCTGCCAAGTTTTTGCAAAATGAATGAATACTAGGGGGTAATCGTTGCCCCCTGTCATACGTTTCATCATAAAGTTTGGGCTCCCATATTTTCATGTGTTTGCAACAGGTTTTGTGAAACTTTGCATACTTACTCAGTTCAGCATTATAAATCAAGAGGTAAGCCTAATTTTTTTTGTTTGAATTTATAAAAATCAAAAAAGCATGACATCGTAGAAAAGGTCTCCACTCAGTGGTGTGCATTTTATCAGTGCTTTAGATAATGCTGTGATTGTATTGAATATCAAAAGCTCAAAATAAATGATTATTTCCTTCCCTTTTTCAGACCTGACCAAAAAATTGATACCTTATCTCAGACCTAGACTGAACTGCATCTCTTTCGGTTAACATTTGAAAAGGGCTTTAAATACCTCATGCTTATAATTATACCTCACTTCTCGATCAAGAGATGAATGACAGGGATGGAGTGGTTTTCAGCTGAGAGTTGTAAAACCAAAACCAAACCAATGTTATTCACCCCTCTCATGACTAGATAACTCACCAAATTTAAAAATGTCAGATACTTCAGCCTTCCTCCATAACTCAATATATGCTCTGTCACAATTTGCATGTCGTAATATGTACCATAAATATAAAATATTCCACAACCTAGATGGAACATGCCACGAGAAACCACCATCTTTGCAAGATGTGCTTACACACTCTAAAAGCCGGAAGAGCCGCCGATCGCGGTCCCCAGGCCACCAAACGTCTACAAATTAACTTTATTAACAAGAGGTCACCTCTCGGATGAAATTATTATTTTAACAAAAAAAAAAAGTTTTGCATCCCTTGGGCCGTGGGGTAAGCGTTTAACCGAGTGCCGATGTTCTCAAGTTAATTATAAATATCTTACCAGATTCAACACAGTTAAAAACCTCCATCTCCCACCATATCCAGCACGAGCAGACTCTACTTTGTCGTCTTCGTAAAACGTGTAAGTAAAAAGAATTCCTCCAAAAACGTGAAAAACGATTCCTAACTTTCCTCCGGCTGCCGAAGCCATGTTTGTTGTCCCTTACCCATGCCCCCTCAGTCAGTTGGTCTCAGTCGGTGAGACAATCGCACGATCATGTCTCTAATTTTTCGAGATTTCAAAGGGATCCAAAAGTTATTTTAAGCGATTTTAATCGTTGAAAGCTCTTGTTCAAAACGTGCAATAAGTTCTGAGTATCCTAGTATCAGGTCTTCCTAAGGCAGGGAGGGAGAGGAAGAGCAGTCCCACTTTTTTTTTTCTCCCTCTCCTCTCCCACCTTACATTAGAACGACCTCAATGAGGCCTCGTCAGCGGAGGAGTCCTTCAAACTATGCGCAATGAAATCGAGACTTGTAATTAATTGCGCATTCGCAATATGGCGGACACTGAAGAAATGAAATCACCACTCTCCGGCTTCCAATATGCAGCCCTTTTGCCTTTAGTATGCTGAGAGTAGACTTTGGTCAAAGTCTTTTGGACCATTGTGGGGTCTTAATTCTTGTGCAACCCGTGGGATACATCGGCGATAAGAGATTCAAGGCTATTTACGACGAAATTTCCACGTATCGTAGGGCACAGGTTCCCAACACGACTAGGACACTTAATTTGCGATACTCCAAAAGGGTCACTCCACAGTTTATCGAGTGGGGCAACTTTCATTTCCATAAACGGGTGTTAGGACTCATTTGCGTGGGAAGATGTTCAGAGATCTCCGAAGTGGAAAAGTTAGAAAAATCGATTAACGAAATCAAGAATCCTTTTAGTGCTATCCTTCTCAACACAAGATGTTTCGTGTTTGGCTGCAAATCCAACGACGAAGCAAAGATCAGGAAAGATTTTGCCCTCATCAGAGGCGAAGATCACTCCGAGGATCTTCAAAGTAATTTGGCGGAGTTTGTAGCTACTCTGTTCAATGTATTGGAATCTAAGAGATTTAGTAAATTGTCAGAAAAGATTGACAAGATAACGTTGATTCAAGCCCCTGTTGAGCATGAAGTGTTTGGAAGTGAAAATGACAACAGGTGAATATCAATACTTATTGATCAATCAATTGACTGACTGACTGTCCAACTGACTGACTGACTGACTGTCTGTCTGTCTGTGTGCCTTTCTGTCTGTCTGTCTCTCCAACTGACTAACTGATTTTTGGATTGGTTGATTGCTTGCTTGCTTGCTTGCTTGCTTGCTTGCTTGCTTGCTTGCTTGCTTCCTTCATTGATTGATTGATTGTCAAGTGATTCACCACTCAATATTGATTGATTGATTGATTGATTGATTGACTGATTGATTGATTGATTGATTGATTGATTGACTGACTGATTGATTGATTGATTGATTGTTAAGTGATTCACCACTGAAGATTGATTTTAAATAGAATGATCAATCAATTGCTTGTGAATTGATTCTTCAATCAACCAATTAATCAGTCAGCCCATCAATAGCTGTTACTGCAGTTATCAGCAGTTTGACATACAAAGGAAACAAAACAGGTCAATTCTGTTCATAGGTCATTTTACAGTTGTGTGCTTAGTTGCCTGGCCACTGAATGCAACCGAGGCTAGAGGTGACCTTGCTCTGATACAGACCTCTCTGCTTTTCTCATTTAACTGACAACTAGTTAGTATAAGAACAACTTAATTTACACTACAAAAGCAGTGAGGTCTGTGTCAAAACAAGGTCACCTGTGTCTTGCTGCCATTCAAAGGCCAGGTCACTGAACAGACAACTGTAAAATGGTCTATTGGACCGTTTGCCTTATTTTTATGCTTAAGCTTATATGAAAAAAAAGTAAGTTTTTCCAGTTGCTCAAAGGCAAAGAATTAGTAGCCTGTGGCACCTAACAACTTCTAGAGCACAGCCCTGCATCTCACCAAACTAGTAGTTAGAATTGTGTAAAGTAAAATGAAAACATGCTTGCCTAGCAGAACTCAAACAGTGATATAGTACCACTCAAGTTAGTTATCAGTTCATTCTCATCTTGCAAGACTTTCATCTTGAGAGACGATTCACTCATCTCCCTTGAAGCTTTATAAACTATAAGTATGGCTGCTTGAACCTCTCTCATGAAATGGGATTCTGATTTTAAGAGAAACGAGACAATTAGTGCTGCAAAATATTGTTTTATCTCCTTTCAGGGCAAGCAAAAGAAGAAGTATTGGACGCTCTAAAAAATACACTGGAGACTTGTGTATGTTAGCAGGTGTGCCTCAAGATGCTCTTAGTCAATATCTCATAGCTGGAGAGTATCTGAGGGCTGCTAGTGATGTGCTGTGGCTTGCCGGAGCTCTTGAGGGCCAGTGTGCAGCGTCTTTAGTGCTAAGCAGAAATGAGAAAGTAACAGACAGAAATTCATTGATTCTGCCCACGAAATGTGCAGTGAACTCTGTGAACTTAGCAATTAATGGTTTAGGAAATGACGTTGATGAAACAAAGTTTAGAAATCCACAGCCACTTTGTGAAGAAGAGATTGTAGAGAGACTGTCTGAAGCTTTGAAGCTCTACAACAGAGTAAGTAACAGTTTATAGCTCTACAACCAAGTAAGTTCATATTTGTATGGAAGACATGTATGGCAGTACATTGTATATCTTGTGTGATCACGCAGGAGAGAGTACATGCACATGTAGTCTTAAGAAAACTTTTGTCCGTGGCTAGCACGCCAATAAACTGAGCATATTGTTTCTTGTGGTTTTGAATTTTTGCACTCAAGTAACCAATCCATGTTAGTAGTCAGATTTCTATAGAGTTTTGAGGGTGGTAAAAGGTATTTTCATGACTCGTGAATGGCCTTATTTTTTCACACAATTTTTCAATTTCACACAACATAATGTTTCTTATATTTATTTGCTTTTGTAGGTCAAAGGAGC